CTGTCTCAAGATTCAGATAGCATGACATAATCCGTTTAAGCTGGTTCAGTTGCAACCATTGCACTCTCTTCACTACTGCACCTCTTTCAATATGGATCCCACAAATTCAGTGCGTCCATGCTTTATCACATCTTGCAAACGAAGGAGCTAAGTCTGCAAGTTCAACCACATGAAAGTGAGAAGAAGGCACATTTTTGATGTTAGAGTAAATGCTGCGACGAGGATGAGTTGATTTGAGGTGAAAAATTGGCATTAATATATCCTTGAATGACTAAGGAAAGTTGATTACGACAATATGCATGAAAGTGCTGACTTCTGTAATGTATTAATTTCCATATGCACTCAGCTAGCACCTGTATTCTGCTTGGTTAATTAATGGGCTGATGTATTAAACTACGTTTTCTCACTATGCATTTTTGGTTGTTCGACATGTCAAAGGATGATTGTGGTGCAATAGTGCTGGACGTGTAGATAGAAATTTAATGAATTTGTGTAATTTTCTTCATGTTTGTTGAAATTTTTCGGTGGCCAGCTGTATCCATTAGGCAGTGATATGCCATCGGTTGCCAGGTGGGTCGCTGTGGAACGGGTTAATCAAAATGCGTCTCTTGTGCTAGTTAGATAGCGGACTTGTACTTGCACGTTTAAAGATTATGGGAACTAGGAGAAACGCACTAAATCGCCGCCATTTTATGAAAACCATTAGCAAATGCACACCGTTATTTGCTATTTTGCGTTTTTTGTTTGTTTGCTCAGGCTAAATCACCATGTTACTTTTATATTATCTCAGATAACTATAAAATACTAGTCCATTTAGCCATACCTATACATTATTTGGCACATTTTCACAATTTTACAGATGCCGTCAGCTTTCTCATATGTTCCACGATACTAATGAACAGTACTGCAGTTAACATCCTATGGCTAGGGTCCAGTCTATTGTTTGACATCTAAGCTTTTTACAGTAATTAGACATTGCTATGAGAAATCACAGTATATAACATCTACCACCTTACGTCCTACTACCAACTGATACTGTTGAGGTTAGAAACTCTGACTTAACTTGCGATTTTTCACCAAACTTATTCTCCCTCTATTTCTGTGATTAAAGTACGTGGAATAGTGCCGTCTATTTTGATTGACAACATGTAAACTAGATGCACTTATTAATTCAGCTCATTATACTAGCTGCATTCCCCTAGTTATTGCTTAGTCTTTAGTCAGGGTCATTTGACCATTAGCCGTTGAATTTGTAAGACAGCAAACGTTTTAAAATTTTCGGAGCAGGCGGTTTTGCTAATAGAAATGCCTCCAATGGTCCTTGTCCATTATGAATGTCATTGGTTAGTAAAATTCTTGTCAATTTTTCGTATTCGTTCCTTAACGCTTAATCCTTTAGAGTCATTGAATATGTAATACGATAGTGGTTTATCCCTCGGTTCTGGTGAGGCTCCACTTTTGTACTTTGAATTAGCCCCCTTTGTACCTCGCTGGGTGGGCTGGCCTTTTGGGCCATGCCAATAGCCCAGACACCCTCTCTGAGCTGAATACATATTCTGCCCTAGTATTTTGTCTTCTTTCGTCTTCAGGTAGTCTCGGGCCGCTACAAATAATTGCCCCAGTAAAAGTTCAATCAACTACCCTAATCCACTCACATTTGCGTTTCACACCGTTCTTCATTCCTATGCATCAACATTAAAATGCTCCCTCTGACGTCTACCTAGTAGAAAATAAATACAAAAAGCATTTTGTGTAACTTTTTGAGGCTTAGGCTATAACTCGAAAGCTCACCTAAACCATCATCAATATAATCCGATAGAATAATTGCGATTCTCCTCTAAGTAATCTGCTGCGATGATGAAGAACTTGTTCTCAATCCCGTCTTATCTCCCTCTCCTTTTAGCTGCAAAGGATGGCATGGTGTGAGGACTGACCTCTCCTCACGCAATCAAGGCCTTTCGTCGCCGCGACATGGAAGTGATGATAGGTTTGTTGACATGGTCTGTCTTACCTCGCCTACAGGTGCATCATCTATCTGAATGTCTGTTTGTCTGTCCACCCATTAGCCACGTTGCAGCGAGCACAGACGGCGTCCAGACTGAGTGCATCTCTCATCCTCCTCCTCCTGCACTTAGCATTGCCACTACCCTCGGGGTGGTGACAGTGGAGGGGGCATATCCCATGGAGATCGGCAACATCTCTATGGCAGGTATTCCCCCAATTTTGACGTTGTTCGTTTGCCAGCACGTAGTTCTATTTTGCATTCATCTTAAGCTTACATTTTTGTTGTTTTGCCCTTTTATAGGTAAATCATACTATTTGCCAATTATCTCGCTAAGACATTGAACTATGACACTGGGTATCGTCATCATAATAGCTAATCATACTTCCAATTGTTTCCACGTGTTTCATTCTTCCATGTAACGAAATGGAAATGCATTAAGTTATAGTTATGCTATACGAAATCTGTTGTTGAAACAGAGGAATTTTTTTATTTTCCTCCTCTTCTCTAATCACTACTACGATACATTTCACTCACGCGAATTTAAAACTGTTGTAACATATACTGACTGTACAGCTTGATCTTGTCGTTAGAACCTGATTAACTTATTTTCTAATTCCTAGCCAAATTCATAATAGTCGCAGCCATGAGAATGCTGGAAAGATGATAGGTGCTCATTGAGGGCAATGAAAAAAGGCTGTTCTTATACTTCCTGTTGCAAATGCAGTACCTCTGTATGGCTTTTGACATTCCCCGCTCCATAGCAAATCGTGCTTACTGTCAGTCAAATTAATCGTTTCACCAACACCCTAATCTCATTGCCTTAACATTTCAACCACGCTATATGAAATATGCAAAACTGTTTCCAATGAAAGCCATATATATCAAGCCTTCTTCCGTTAAAGTTAGCCGGAATTCCACCTACCATAAACACGTGCAACAATACTAGCAAAACCGTCAAGAACCACCGCCGCAAACAATTCGTGTACGCACATGCAAATCCAAGTGAGCCGTCCCCAAGCTGGAGAAGCAGAACGCACGATCCCTGACAAATTCATACAAACCAAAGGTCCTACAATGGGAAGTACCGACGATATTGAATGTTCAAAACTGTTGCATATTTATTTTTTAGTAAAATTTATAACAACAACCATTTAGTTTTTCAGCCAAATAGCCAATAAGCACATTTTATAAAAAAATTATGCGTTATGCGCCAACTCTACTAAGTAAAATGTGGCTACTTCTAACCCTTAAATGCAAAGCTTATTCTTGTAGTAGTAGTAGTACCTTAAATCAATAGTGACTCTGCAATAGGCCACACCAGTATGAGGCATTATTTACAACTAACATAGTTAACGTTTGAAAGGGCAAGGTCCTAAACCGCAGCTGTCCTGGGGACAATGATGAAGTATGCGAGATGAAGGTTTTCTCGTCTACAAACTGCTTCGTTCCAAACGCACAACTCAGTACTTAGCCAATACATGTTTAACACATCATGATGCAGCACTAAAAAGGTACTCCACTAGTGATTCTCGAAGGCGAGGCTTCGCTTACAAATGTACGAAAGAAAATTATACAATGGCATACTCAACGACAACTTAAAGGGGAAGCAGAGAAGACTGTGCTTGAAAGACAGAAGGGCCACAGAATGCTTGTGCTGTTTAAATGCACCTCTGATGGGAAACTAGAGAGATTTGCACACACTTCGTAGCAGAATTTTCGAAAGGCTTCCCAGAGGCAGCGAAGAGCTCCGCAATTGGACCTCTAAAAAATTGTACCGATTTTTGTCGGCTCTCAAAATAACCCACCGAACTAAACTGTTCGTTTAAAGCGCATAATTATCAGAGTGAAGGTGATAAACCAGGAACTAGATGCATATTTATATCTAGTATTACTTGTAGAACATAAAATAAAGGAATAAAAATGTCCTTTCCTATGTTGGCATTTGTTGCACATTTTATTAATTCAACACCGACTTTTTTACCAAATGAATGAAAATACATGTTTGCAATCGTTTTTTTTTGCAAATATTAGTCTACACGGATGAAATCGTTTTGATATTTTAATTCATTTCTCATCCACTCATTCCGTGTTTATTCATCAATCTCGCATTCATCCATTACCATTTATCAATTCATTTATTCATCCATTCATCTATCCTTTAATCCATCTATCTGATCAAGATCTATTCATCACAAAGTCATTCATCCCTTATCCGCCTTGTTTGCCTTCATGAATCAATCATTCATCTAACAAAAGCTTTATCCCTAGCAATCACATTCTTCAAACTCTTCACTCATTCACGGTGCTTACCTGTGATAAACAATCCTGAATAAACCTTTACAAATTTCCAATATCCGGTTTAAAGTAATGGAGACAGACTGGTCAATTCAATCCTTGAAATCATCTTTGCAAATACCTTTGCCCATTCATCCACATCACACTCGTTGCATCCTTCATGCAGCCACTTGGAAATAGCTCGAAATTTTGTTTCTGCACTCAAGCCTTCTTGCCGTCTCTTCTCCAACAGGATCATAAAATACTATCCACCAGTACCTCTTGTTGCAAATACAGGTTCCTAAAACGTTTTCTTATCAGTGAAATGCACAAATCCACCAAATCATGATTCAACGTCACATTATCTAACGACCAAACTTCTGCAATATTGTCCAGAGAGATTCTGAAGGCATCCAGTTGTAACTCTCAAAAGAGCTTTTTATACCTCGTTCTGCGAAAATACACACACACAGGGAGACGACCGTGGAGCAGCCGAGGTTGTTTGCTAGCAGAGAGAGTTGCGTAGCATTTCCTGCTGAGACTGTGATGCTACTTGTGTGCTCGTAGTTGATGACAGCGTCAATGATGCTGAAAGAACAGTGAAGATGAGGATATATGCATGTATCCTTTAGAAAACTGCTTCCATTGGACTACTATTACACCTCGTTGAGAGGCTAATGTTTACAGCAAAAGTGAATTCGTGACTGCCACGATCAATCGGAGTGTCTTTACTCGTTTTCCATCCTCTGTCCAGAAGTCGAAGCATGAATTCTATGTCCATCAACCCACGGTGAATTGTGGGTCGATTAGTTTGCCCTGTTCACACAAGACGCAGAGTTTCTGGCTCAGAGATGAGCCTTCACTCTCATCTGAATACCTCATTGTCTCCATCGGTTGTCAAAGAGTTGTGAATTAAAGCACAAAGGGGTGATACTTATGGTTAACATAAGACACGTGAGAATGAATGCAAGGCCACACATGCATTGTTCGTTGAGAGGCCATTGAGCATTCTCGAAGAAACCATTGGGAATGGTGCAACGCGTGGATGAGTGCACCTGTGCCAAGAGCTTGGAGGTATTCATTTGTGTGCTTTGCTTGTGCAGAAGGTAAGTGCAATGATGTGTTTTTCCGGACTTCCACTGTCCTCCAATTCGACGATTTGGTGTACCTTGTGAATTCTCCTGTACAGTGTCATGTTAGGCACCGTCTGCCATATGGCTTGAAGTGCCACATGACCAACATTACCAACATTGCCTCCGATGTTACGCTTCGCCCTCCGGTGCCACTCATCCTAGACACGTTGATAGGACGGACCTGCAGTCATGCAGATTGCCTTGTAGCTAATCTCCGCACACTCGATGATGGTACTTTCCGAGGGTATACGCAGTCCCCACTAGGTGCCTCACCGTGTGATTAGTGGAGAGTGTGG